ATATATATATATACACATGTTTGTAGATGTAGCAATAGATGTATATGTGTAGGTTGTATGTGCAAGCGTATGTGCATTCCCTTGATTAGGTTTGTCTGCGGAGTTGGCTCTGTTCCACACGCGTCTCAGGTGCAGCACCGAAGCATAGCCCATTGTGATTTCTCTTCCCAGACATGGTCATAGCGAAAGTCAACCCACGTCCGTGCCGTCTTCATCCCACTTCGTAGTTGGTCTGCGATACAAACTCTATAACCAAGCCCGGACCCTAAACCCTAAACTTTGAAAACCCATGCAAATCCAAACCCTGAAATTCACTCGCCTTGACAAGCGTGGGTCGAGCCCCCGATGCCAAATAAAACTTGCATACGTAGGCCCAAACGTAAACCAAAGCCTGCTGCACTTTGACGATTAATGCTTTAGGGGTTAGGGTTCAAGGTTTACTGTAGGCTTGAAGTTTAGGATTAGGGTTAGGGGCTCTTTTGTCTGTTTCGGGGCATGATCCGAGTTTTGGAATTTCTTGTCATTGATCCGTAGCTGTCAGCCAAGGAGGTGGTATCCGAGTTGCTGACCGCAAGCGCGAACATGGAAGATGCAGCTACGGGCGAGACACCACTGGGCTTGGCAGCAGGCAGAGGGATGGCGGCAATGGTGCGGATGCTGTTGCAAGCAAGGGCCGACATCAACAAGGCTGCAGAAGGGGCTGAAGCACCTCTTTGCAAAGCTTGCGCTGGTGGCCATGCAGACGTCGTGCGCTTGTTGCTGGAGGCTGGAGCGGACAGAACTGTGGGTTCGCCTCTTTGTTCAGTTTGTGATGAAGGACACACGGAGATCGTGCAGCTGTTGCTGACGGCCCGTGCTGACAAGGATGCTTGCAACGCCGATGGCAGAACGCCACTCTGGCTTGCGAGCAGGTTTGACTTTCCGGATGTTGTACGCTTGCTACTCTCGGCCCAGGCAGATCCCAACTTCGTTGTACGCGCAGATTCATACAGCCGTCATGTCGCCTTAGGTGGTCTAGATTGCAGCAGTCCGACATGGAAGCTTCTTATCGAGGCCTGGACCTCTGGATCTCAGGGCAAGAGCGGAAAACGCGTGTCCAAGCAGAATAGCACAGTGTAGGGTTTAACTGGGGCCCACTATTCTATAATTCCAACAAGGAACCCCCAAAATAATATTGGTAATTTTTTTGGGCCCTTACATGAGGTTAAGGGGACTTGACGTTCTCGAAAGATTGTGTAGGCCTTATTCAACACCCTGTCGCACCAACCTGTTTCAATTTGCGTGCAATAGTCTGAACACGTCTGAACCCCTTGAAGGCAGGAAAAGCGACCCTGTAACGCCTATTCCAAACCTCACACAACCTGGCAAGCATAGATATCTTCTGCCAGCTATCGCTGAGGCCACGCTTCTCCACCATGCTGGGAAAGAAGTACGCAGCCTTCTCGGGATTTCTCAGGTGTGCTGCAAGTCAGAAATCAGAAACCCGTTCATGAAGCATTGTAGTGCAGGCTTTTGGGCAACCATCCACAACCCTAAGCCCTGAGCCCTAAACCCTAAACCCTCAACCTTAAGCCCTTATCCCCAAGCCCAAAATCCTGAAGTCTTGAAATAGGCAGAAGAAGTGCCCGACTGCATTGCAGACTTCGGGGATCTTCATGGGCACCGCTTCTTTACCTGATGAGGGCTTTATGACCGCTTGGTATGACAAGGTTTCGGGGTGTAATTATATATGGAATGAATCATTCCAGCGGCTACAGCGGGGTAGTATCAAAAAAATCGTTGCGGCCATATGCCCTAAACCCTAATGGTAGAGCACTGCAACCCCTAAATTCCTAAATCTTCACCCGACACCGGCCTCTGGCTCGAAAGTCTGCAATGTATCGATGGCGACGGTTTAGGGTATAGGGGTTTAGGGTTTAGGGTTTAGGGGTTTAGGGTTTAGGGGGCGTCATGAGCCAAAAACCTTCAAAAGGCCTCCAGAGGCTCCGTTTTCGGGTATGTGACCGCAATACTGCCATGCAGTCTCAGTGCACCTGAAGGGTCATGAGACAGCAGGTCTGGTGCAGTAGGGTTTAGACTTGAAACCCCAGGTCCTAAACTCTAAACTCCAAGAAGCAGTCGTTTTTTTCGCGAATTTCCGGTTTAAGAGTTCAGAGGTGTAGGGTTTCCGTCTTGCATTGCTATATAAGTGCATAAAAAAAGATTCTGATCATTATAAGGCCTGTCGTGCCTGCTAGTCCCATGATCCTTAAAGTAGGACACCCTGTGAACTTCCATGTCAAGAAGCAGGCTTCAGTTTCAAGCTCACCTCTAGCTTTGTGAGGCAGGTGGATTAGTGCGCACGTTCGGGGTCTACGATTCCGCACTGTCCGGCATTGTTAGGGTTTGAGGGCTTAGGCTAAAGTTAAGCTTTAAGCTTTTAGGGGTTTCAGGGCATGGGGTCTCAAAGTTTAGAGAGCCGTGTTCTGAAATTCTACAAGGCCGAAGGTGGCTCTAAGAGTTTCGCACTGCAGCGGTTCAGGGTTCAAAGGTCCAGGGTCTAGACGTCAGACCTAATGAGCAAGTCATACATAGCCCTTTCAGGGTTTAGGGTTTGCATCGATGCTTTCTCCCATTGCAAAGCTGCGCAGCCACTGCTGAGCACCTACCTCAGCTGCACCGGGGCTTTCCTGAGAGCGGATTAGGGACCTCGCCTGCCCCAAGAAGGCTTTGCGCGCTCTTCGCGACCAGGGTCATGCGTCCCTGAACGCTCCAAGTGCAGTAGGATGGGATATCGGACAGGGTCGGGTAGGGGTTCCAGATGCTGGATGCTCGGGACTGATAAGAGACGATTCACTAACAGCGTTTACAAACCCTGATAAGACCCGAAACCTGAGATTCAGTAACAGCTTCAACCGTAGATTGCCTCCATTCCATCACCACCCTACAACCCTGTAGACCCTAAACCCCTAAACCCTAAACCCCTATGCAGAAAAAATGAACACAATTGTTCAGGACAATGCAGTGTTCCATCAACGCATGTTTTCAGAACTATGCCCTTTCGACCCTGATCCCAAAAAAAAGAGAGAGCGGAATCCTGACGAGATAGCGGAATTCAAGCCGGAATGCCTTCATAACCTTTTTTTTGCAACCAGGGTTGGCTAGGTAAACCCTAAACCCTAAACCCCTAAACCCTAAACCCTAAAACCCTAAACACCCCCGGCCCAGGTCTCGAAGACGAAGTGGAATCCACGGAAAAGTGGCTCGCAGTGATCCGCCGTTTCTTCAGAAAGCCTGTGCGGAGATTGGTGTTCGAAGCTCGTGGATTATGGTTCGTGCTTCTACTTCTCTAGAGACCTTTAATCATTGCAAGCCCTGGGGCCGTTGCCCCCTGAACCCTAAACCCTAAACCCAAACCCCTAAACCCCTAAACCCTAAACCCTAAACCGCTATTGCATCCTAAGTCAGCAGACCTTCAGTCTGGAACCTCACATGGGAGGCTTGCAGAACATCTGTTAAGGAAGTCGAGGGTTCAGGGTTTTGGGGATATATAGAGGTTGTACCCTCAAAACTTACACCTCAAATCCTAAACCCTTATAGTTCCTGTAGAGGAACCCATGAGAAACTACTTGAAGGTCGAGGGTACCCCAGAGGCGACTAAGTACGGTAGCCGTTGCGATGAAGTGCTTCGCACGACAGCAAGACGGAAGGTACTGACTCACAGCCTCACATACCTACCCAAAGTGTAACTCCTCAACCCTAAACCCTCAGGCCTAATCCCTCAGCCCTGAAAAAAAAGCTCAGCCCTAAGCCCTCAACCCTAAACCCTAAGACCTAAACCTTTCCCACTAAACCCTCAAACCCTAAACCCTAAGACCTAAACCCTATAGCCTTCAACCCATGAGCCTTTCCGTACACTCTCGGCAGAAGAGCCGGACTGTTCGCTGCGCGCCGAGAAAAGAGCGACCAGCCCAGGCACCCCAAAACGCCGCTAAACCCGAAAGGCTCTGAGCTTGTGGGGTTTAGAATGGGTTTAGGGTTTAGGGCTTAGGGTTTCCATTATAAAGCCCCAAACCCTGTACCTAAACCCCTAAACCCCAAAATCCCTTGAACCCTGGTTTTAAGTCTGACCAATCCTGGTAGCAGCTCCACAAATGCCACAAATCCAGCAACCGTATGTCTTGACAAGCAGGCATTGAATCAGGATCAGTCGCACAAACCAGCCCCCAGGTGCCCAAATCCTAAACCTTAAACCCTAAAACCCCTAAACCCTAAAGCCTAAAAACAAAATCTAAACCCTAAATCCTTAAACCCTGAACCCTGAACACTAGATTGGGAGCCAGCCCTAAGGCTAGACACCATCGATCGCGAAGTTGGGTTCCGGGGGTGAGGGTATCCCGTGGCAGGGAGGGGTGCTTTTGTAGGGGTTTAGGGTTTTAGGGGGTTTTTGGTTTAGGGTTTGGGGGTTTAGTAACTTAGGGTTTAGGGATTCAGGCTTGAGCTTCCTTTGCCATAGCTGGGTAACACTCCACATGTTTATGGGTACTGAAACTCAATAAGGAATAGAAGCCTGAAATTTCCGTACCGTCCCGACCATGAACTAGTGTCGATGTTTCCTGCGGATGGCTCTGCACCATACGCCCCCGTCATTTCAGCCTGACTACCAGGGGCCACCTTGCAGATCCGGTTCAAGCAAGAGCATCCAGAGATTAGTGTGCTTAGGGAATCCGTGGGCAAACTTAAACCCCACACCCAAAGCCTTAAACTAAACCCAAAGCGTTAAACCCAAAGCCCTAAATCTGCAACAGCATACCTCAACCCACCCTTGGACCCTTCTCAAAAAAAAACCAAACTCGGAAGACACCTCTAATACCAGACAGTGTCCCAATAGAGGCCCTAATCATAAGCCGTAAAGCCCTAAACCGCAATCCCTAAGCCCTAAGCCCTAAACCCTAAACCCTAAACCCTAAACCCAAACCCACGACCCTAAACCGCAATCCCTAAGCCCTAAGCTCCTCGAGCCGGAACAGGCGCCCCATCGAGGCCCTCTCGTCCCTAAGCCCTAGACCCTAAAACCTTAGAGCCCTAAACCGCGAACCGAAAACCCGAAATCCTAAAATCCCAAACCCCGAACTTCTAAACCCTGAAACCCCAAAGCCCTAAAACGCCAAACCCTAAGGCCCCTAAAACCCTAACGCTCTAAACCATAAAAACCCTGCCCTAAACCCTAAAACTCTGAAGCACTAAACCCTAAACCCCTAAGCTCATGAGCCTTTCTTGGGCGCTCCGCCGAAGACCGGTGGCAGCCCCGAACCTCGCACGAAGGGGTTTTAGGGGCTTTAGGGGCTTTAGGGTGTTTCGGGTTTTACGGTTTAGGGTTTTTTAGGGTTTTAGGTTTAGGAATAATAGTGATTTAGGGTTTCGGGTTTGGAGTTTAGGGGGCTTTGAGGTTGGGGGCTTCAGGTTTAGGTTTTAAGGGTTTTAGGGTTTAGGGGTTGGGGGGCTAAGGGTTTAGGGATTTAAGGTTTATGGCGTTTAGGGTTTAGAGGTCTGGGGTTTAGGGTTAAGGCTTCTATGCTGTAGCCGAACAGGCTCAGGGTTTTGTGTGGCAGGTTAGGGATCAGAACAGGGGGCACAAGATTCCGAGCTCGGGTAGGCTCTTTTGGGAGGTGTAGGATTCACGCTTCGGGGCTTACGGGAGGATTTAAGGTAGAGGTCCTTACCTTTTGGGGTTGCAGGGTGTAGGAGTTAGGGGTCCGTCGTTGTGGAGCGCAAAACTTGAGGGTTCAAGGGATTAGGGTGTAGCAAAATCTTACAGGTGTTCGGCGCCGAAAGCGTTTAGGGTGCAAGAATTCAGCTTGAAACGTTATTTGGTGGGCCCAGTTGGGTTTAAGCATGAGGCGAGTTCTTTTGCTCAGTCTGTTCGGGAGGGACAGTCCCTAAACCTTAAGCCCTGAGCCATTCACCGGAAGGTTTTACTGTAGATGTTCAGGGTGCTGAGCCCTGAAAACCAAGCATCCGATCTTTCCCTTATACCCCATTGAACCTCAGAAACGCCCTTATATTGGATTAGGGCTAAAAACTTAGGGTTTAGCGTTGCGGGAAAGATGCTGCCTACTTGTAAACCCTC